AACTCACGACTTCGTATCTCCCATCTCCGTCGATTAAGGCATCAGTTACTGACTGTCACAGTGTCGCATGCACACCACTCGTCTTCTTGTCCTTCGGCTGTCGCACACCACTTGTTGTTGTCACTCCTATTTATGACTTTATGTTGAACATTTAAGACTTTTTTTGACTTCATTTGATTTGTAATTTTTAATTTAATTTTAAATTGTGTTGCTTATTAAATGGGTTATACATGTTGGGTTCGACTCACTGATCCACGAACTCACGAACTCATATACTTATACGAGTTATATGAGTTGGGTTAGGTTGATGTTTTTAACCCGCCAACCTACTAACCCATATATTATATGGGTTGGGTTGGGTTAATGTATTCTGACCCACCAACCCGCTAACCCGAACTCAACCCAATTGTCAGGCATATATAATATATGCAATGATCATTTGTACATATGCTAACATGTACGTGAATTATGTTGGCATATGTAGTGCTCAATATGAAAGCAAGAGTAACAAAAGTATTTTGAAAGGAATTGTTTATTGAATTTCAAGAATTAAGATACCTCTAAAATACTTACATAGGGTCTTATATATAGGATAGATAGGATAGGGCTAAATTTGGTCTGCACAAATAATTATAGAAATAGTTTATATGTGCACATTGAACCTCTAATGTTGTAAAAATATCCAGAAATACGAACGATATTCACTCAATATATAGAGAGTCGCTTTCCCTTAGTGGCCAAGGGTTCGTACAAACATCACTACCTGTACCTACATGTTGATTTTTTGCCACTAAGGTTTCAAATGTCTGAATCAAAATATGATGTTTTGTGTAAAGATGGCTATTATATCAGGTTTCTTTAGTTGTTTCTCCGGTGCAAACAAGGTGATGGATGAAGGAAATGATAAAAATAGTGTATCAAGAAAAGTTAAGAACATTGATGGTGACCACGATGCAAAGGTGAAGAAGAGCAGAAAAAGCGCACCAATTCCGGTTGCTTATTTCCCCATCGGCTCAAACTTTTCACGTTTGTAAATATAAAAGACATTCCAATATCACCAATTAAGTGAGCTTTGGTATGCTTAATGCAACGAGTATAAGTGCTATTGCATGGAGCTGCTTAGAGAAAAATGATCAGCGGAATATGCATGGAATTAATTGTTCTTGGGTTCATCGATCGATCTCCATGACATTGTTCTTGAATGTAGAATATTATGATTCAGCGTAGCAGAAGAAGCAGTTTGATGTACAATTTCATTTGTTTAATTGCATATATTCAATTTAAGATATTTTATATATTTTGATTGACCAATTCAAGTGTTCCTGTCTCTTATAGTAATTTAGACAAATCTATCGTTAGTTGATGTGTGTTATATATGATCTATATTTTAATATTTACATTTAATTAATCGCCAAAGTCCTGGTTAGTCTGGACGTTTGAAATTTTGAGATTTTTAGAAATAAGTTCATTCAAATTTGATAACTCTATTAGTGTAAGATACTGTGTGTGGTTGTGTTAATGCCTTAATGGTACCTTATAATATGTTGTATATGTGATCAAACAAGTTTAATGTAAAGAATAGCAATTGAAGGTCATCAATTGGAAGGTGCTATTAATTATGAAGGTTTATTATACACTCGATGTACATTTAATTTTTATATGAAGCAACTTCTAATAGAAAATCTATGTAATCTAGCTTAATTATATAATTCATGTTTTATATTGTATCATGTTTTTAGAATGGTATTTTCTGCTACAAAAATTCACACTTTAAACTTATTTTTGTTGAATATATTATTTATGTTAGAGAAGTTATTTGCAATTTTCATGTTGTTAGTTTATTTCAAATTCAAAGTGTTGGAAAGAAGAACATTACTTTTGGAAATACATCTTCTCTAATAAATGAAGGTTTTTTTTATCACTTGTCATACTCTCATTCATTTTGCCACATGTCATTTTGTGGTTATTTTCAATTAATTTTTATTCCATATGTAATTTTATGGTTTTCCTATTTTATTAAATTCCATATGGTGTTTAAATTTAATAATAAATGCATATCAATTTCATTAATAAACTTTCCTTATAACTTCAAAATCTTAAAATAAAAAATCTCATTAATTTGCTTTGATTAATTTATCTAAATGATTTGTTTAAATTTAAAAGAGAAAAAAAAACACTTTAATTTTAATAATTCAATATTTTTCTTATTTTTCATATAAATTCAAATTTCTCAAATGTTTATACATATTTAATTGTTTTAAATACACCCATGTAATACATGAGATTCACACCTAGTTTCTAATAATTTTCCGTTAAGATTTTTTGAAACAAATTGTTAAACGGTAGAGAAAAAAGAAAGAGAGATGCATGTAGAAATTAGAAAATAAGAATAAAATACACAAGACTACCACTCGATTGACTGTCCTGTCCTGCGCCCATCACCCATGAAAAAAGAAATGTTTTGTTCCAAACCGTAATTATGTAATGGCACAGTGGACACAATGTCAAGTTAGATAGACCATTTTGTTGTATTTAATGTCACAGTGGATGGCACGTAGGATTCAATGTCCATTGAATATACCTCAATAGAGTAATGAAAACCTAAAAAAATGTCTATTAAATACAATTAAAAGATAAATGATTTATGGAGCAAACTATTTACTGTTAGTTAGTCAGATTTGTGCAAAATAACTTTTCAAATGTTTAACTAGCACTCAAGCATAAATTGAGTCAAAATTTTAAAACCCTCTATAGTACAAACTTAACCTATGAAGTTGAAAATCTAACCATAGAAAACGAAAGATATAGGTAGGGGTGTTTAAAAAACCAAAACTAGACCAAACAAAAACCGGAAAAAAAAAAAAAAAAAAAAAAAAAAAAAAAAAAACCCCGAAAAAACGTAACTGAAAAAAGCGAACCATTTGAAAAACCGATGGTTTAGTTTTTGTTTTTAGAAAAAAACAGATTTTTTAGGTTCGGTTTGGTTTTTCTATATCGAAAAACCGAAAGAAGAAAACGAACCGAACCGAAATACACAAAATGACATCGTTTTACATATAAATATCACAACATTAGTAAAGTTACTCATAGAATAATAAAAAGTAATATTTTATGGTGTAGGTGAAACGTGTATATGATATGAGGGATTAGAGTGTTAAAAGTCTAAAAATATTCACATCTTATACATCTATTGATTGTGAGAGTAAAAAAAAAACATAAAAAAAAAAATTTATAGTATAAAATAAAAGAAAATAGTTAACTCAATCTCATGATGATTATTTGTAAATGAGTATTAAATTGACATGCATATAAAAAATAATAGACACCTTTTTTTATTTTACAGTAATATCCATTTTGTTTAAACGAATGAAACATATTGTATATTTGTATTGGAGTATATATTAAATATTCATACAAGCTTTTAAAATCCAATGAACCGAATCTAATAATTTGTCGAATCTAATAATTTGTTTTAATTTTGTGATTTAAGGTAAAATAACGTTTTAATTTTGTGATTTAAGGTGATAATAACTATTGACTTATGAAACCAAATGAATAATGTTCTTAAAACTGCAAAACACTAAACACAATTAATAATTGAAATATACGATTTCATATATATATATATATATATATATATATATATATATATATATATATATATATAATAAATGATTTGATTGGTACAGTATTACCATGATATTCACCATTATATTGGTACGATACAACTGATAAAACATTTTGGCTGCCAAATATATTAATTACCAATTTTTTTTGTTAGGTTGGTAACATGTTGATTGGTTTTCTATGATATAACTTTGTCCGCCCTAGTACAAACATCACTACATGTTGGTTTTGTTCACAATAATTTTTCAAAAATCACAAGAAGACACGATTAGCGTGACCAATTCCAACACCTTTCTCCCAAAGCAAACTAAGAGCATCCACAATGGTGAGTTCAATGAGAAAGTTGAATGAGGTGACAAGTATATTTGTCATTCAATAGATTAAACTCTAGCATAGTAAGATGTCATCTTAGCATTCAACGGATTTGAAGTTCAATAACCATAGAACTCTTCAATAAAAAAAATGAAAGTGTTTAGTTCTTAAATATATACTATAAATTAGCTTTTGTAATTTTCTATTGAACTTTATAGAGTTCAATGCATTGTAGAAAATATTTGTTAAAATTGTATGGAATGTAAAAAATAATGTGGAAATTCATTAAACTCTATAGAATTCCCTCGCAGGCCTCATTCATAAAGATATCTGAAATCTCATACACAAACAGAAAGCGTTCTTTCCATTTCTTTAATGGAAGATGTGAAACCATTATGAGGACAATAAACAAATAATTTGTTAACTTTTAAGAAAGGGAAAATGACACAATGGCCCTACCATGTATTTCGACTTTACATTTTCAATCCCTAAAATTTTTTTCGTACCCTTTAAAGGAACAAAGTTGATGTCGACCTGTTTTTTTTACCACTACGATCTAATATACCAGGTTAAAGCTGATGTGGCTTATGATTTGGAACTTTTTTAGTATAAAAAAATAATAATAAAATTGGGGCCCACCATCTCTCTCTCTCTCTCTCTCTCTCTCTCTCTCTCTCTCTCTCTCTCTCTCAAATTAATCTTAAATCTGAAATTATGGCTAAATCATAAAACATGTGGGCCCCACCGATTAGACTTGGTTCAGAATCATCGTCCCTTAAGATGATTTCTTTGAAGAATCTCTACAACGGATAATGTTTTGCGCCGCTAATAATCAGATCCAAAAATCTTAGAACCATGAGACTTTTCAGATGTTTCGGAGATTGGGATGGGGTTCTGAAACTTGCTACGAATAACATCAAGAGATTGAATGAGGTGCATCTGGAGAGACTTCATGTAACCGATATCAGCCTTGCATCCCTTTCCAATTGTGTAAATCTTGAAATCCTTCAACTCATAAAAACACTAAAATACTGGAATGTACTAATTTTGGTATAGCGTCTATGGTGGTGAAGTGTAAGCTTACGAGGAAGCTTCATATTGACGGGTGGAAAACAAACAGGATTGACGATGAAGGTTTGATTGGTGTAGCAAAATATTGCCATAACCTTCAAGAGTTGGTCCTTATCGATGTAAATCGCGCCCATGCTAGTTTATCGCGATTGGCTTCAAACTGCCACAAGCTAGAGCGATTGGCGCTATGTAGGATTGAGACCATAGGTGATGTCGAGATTTCTTGCATAGCTGCTAAATGTACGGAGTTGAAGAAGCTATGCATCAACAGTTGCCATGTGTCCGATCATGGAATGGAAGGTCTAGTACTTGGGTGCCTTAATTTGGTGAAGGTGAAGAAATGCAAGGGAGTCGCATGTGATGGTGTTGGTTGGTTGAGGGCTAGCCGGGAATCATTAGCTGTCAAGTTGGATGCTTTGGTGGTTGAAAATCAAAACCAGAATGCAACCGTTGAGGTGGTGGTGGAGGACCAACAACCACCGGCAACTAGTGACCTCAGAGGCAGTGTTAATGGTGGTTCTAGCAATAACCGACGGTCAACATCGCTTTAATGGTGAGGAGAGTGTTGTGGTTGGATTCTTTTACAATATCATGTATGTATGTATGAGAGAGAGATGGTGGGCCCCAATTTTTATTAATCTTTCGTTTTTTTACTGAAAAAATTGCAAATAATAAACCATGCAGTGACCAAAAATACATTGCCGTTGCGTCATTTTCCCCTTTTAAGAAAGCATTTAATTTATGAGCTAAAAATCTCGACTTTCCCTGCCCCACGACACCTGGTCCAGGAAGCATTTACTATCATACAAAATTGATTTATGAAGATAGAAATTATTATGACAACAAAGCACCCAACCAATCCTTAAATGCTGCAAAAGTCATCACGATATTTAATTAAACACATAGAATTAGATATAGAAATAGAATAGCCTCCAATCTACTCAAAGTTGTTGACAAAACAACTATCTGTCCAAAAAAAATATCGTCAAGTCCTCTCACTAAACAGAAAATACACAAAATTCACAAATAAACAAATCAGATTTACCAAAAATATTGTCTAGTGATCATCTCTCATTTTAACTACACAAGTAAGTAGACTTTTTTCACATGCTGCTAATGAAAAAATCAACAAGCCTGTACACCATCGTCTCCACTTCTATATTTCGTATATATATACTCCTTCCATCATATCATCCCCCACATCCAACAAACCTACACCACATGTACAACAAATATATTCATTATTAATTCCACTACTTCATTTCACCTTTATTTTAACATCCAGATAAAACACAAACCTCTGTTTATATAACAAACACCTCCACCACTTCCGCTCTACAAACTCTACCCGCATATACCCAACCAAACAAACCCTGCAAAATCACCATCATCATCATCATCATCATCATAACTACAAAACATTTATAAAAAAAAATTTTACCTCGAATGACACTTCAACTTTTGGATTTCTTCCCAACAACAATCTGAAATATCCTCAACCCTCTACTAAACGCTTCATTAAACAAGATCCTCGTCTGCATCGACTGCAACCCAGGCAACCACGACAAAGCCGCCACAGGCATCAAGACAACCACCCCAAACATCGTGTCATAAGTCCTTGCAACCGACACAACAGTCGCCCATATAAAACTCTTCTCCAAAATCGGCCTAAACACTTGAGCAATCAACAGAAACCCCCACCCAGTAGGCACAAACGCCAACAAACTCGTCAAAATATCAAGAAACCGAAAACTCGTAAACTCCAACAACGCGATAATTATCAAAATCCCAATCACAATCACAAGAAACTGCACAAGCCGATAGTAAATATGCTCTTTCGCAGAGTACTTATCGCGCGCATACATTATCACCGAATATATCACAAGAGCCACAACAATGTAAATCCACGAAAGAATATAAACCGCAACACTTTTGCTTCCAGCTGCAATCCCTAATTGGTAAACAATCCCGTATTGGAAGAAAAAGAATCGAAGATCCAAAATGATTTCGAATATTTTCCCGAGCAAACCCGTTGTTCTTAAATGATCCTGTTCTTCATACCACCATCGTTCCCAGCTTTCTTCCGGTTTTGCAAACACGCCTCCTTTAAACCAAATCCAGTTCATGAAATCATCGAAATCGTACACGGTTTTCAACCAATCGAATCCGGATGGGTTGAACACAAACGGAGCCATGATCCATGAAACCACGAGAAACCAACTTGAAATGGTTAACGCGATGTAAGTGAAGGTTCCTTTAGCCACGGGGCTATAAGCAGCATAAACGGTCAGGATTAAACCGAGTTCGATCGCTTTTATGAAATGACTCCGCGCGTATAATCGGTAATTTTCAGCGAATGATTTGTGTTGGACGACAAACCCCCGCCCGGTTGCCCGATATTTCGCTCCACCATGTAGAATCGTCCGCCCGAAGTAATGCGAACGCGTGCCCAACGAGAACGTATAAAAAACGGATGAGAGTTGTAACTGCATTGTGATGAAATCCCAAATAGCTGCGAGAAAACCGTGTTCGAGGGTATTTTCGACAATCATTGGTAAGGCTGTGAAAAGTCCAAGCTGGACGATAAACTGTTGGTTTAAAATCGTCCCCAACGCGTTATTTGTATTTGCGTTTTCCGAAACCGAATTCTCAACCCCGCTTAATGCGAGATATAATCGGCCCCACAAGAACGCGTATACAGTTAAAGAAATCATCATTGTATTGAAGAAGAATCCGACTGTGGTGTAGAAGAAAGAAAGCATTCTGAAAAAGTCAAGGCGTTGACCCAATCTGTATACATCTCTACTCAAAACTTGTTCCCCGTTTCCACTTGCAACTTTGGCTTCAAACATGGAGACTTGATTTAAACCCACATCGCGACCTTTTCCTACTTGAATATACTCATGGTGGGTTACGTTTCCGCCTCTTAAAGTACAATTAAACCCTGCGAAAATGTCTTCACTTAAGTTGATCAATCTTGAAGCTTTGCTGATTCCGCCACGTGTCATGAACCAGAAGCGATCGAATACATCCGGGTGCCCGTAATGTAAACGGATCTTCAACGGGTTAGCGAGGACCCGTTGACCCAAAGTCACAAAACTTGTTTCTTGAGCTGACATGAACCACGCGAGCGAGGAAACGGACCCCGTGAAGATGTTTTCGCGAACTCCTAGGATATTCGGTTTACGGATCCCGTATTTTTGTTTATATTCTTCCAACAGATTCCTCATTTTCAAAGCTTCTTCAAAGTAATTATCTTGATTCATGTCAATGGTTTGAACAGCATCTCCACGGGTGAAAATCAGGGCGTGATTTTGATTCTCGGGTTTACCTTCCCCGAGTTTTAACGGACCCGGTAACTTGACCCGATAAACTTCAACTTCTTTTCCAAGAGTTTGGTCAAACTTGACTAAAACAGAGAAATAATCCGTCCCACCAGGCGTCGCCACCTCATCAACATACGCCACACGTAACGCTTCATGCTCTTTCATCAAATACAGAATCTCATCAGCATGTGGGTCCTTTTTCGCCTTTTGGGTCCCGTATATCTGACACGCAACCACATAAGTATACTTCATTAAAGCTGTTCCATATTCGTGCCCTTTGAACATCATACTGACCCGACTATCTGCCCGGGTTAAATCCCGGGCACTACCCCCCATTGGAATTAATTCTTTTGCACCTTCACGAATGTCCATTTCAGAAGCTGAATCAAGAAAAGCCAACATTTTAAGTGCCCGATAATAATACATCATACCCCTAACAGTTCGGGCAAGTGTCTGCCCTCTGTAAGATGCCCAAAGTCTCAAATCTCTTAACTTTTCTGTCCATAACTCTTCTTCGGTCACCATCCCTTCGCGACGCATCCGTTGCAAAAAGTTCACCCATTCATCTGCGTAAATTGTCTGAAGATAATAAAGAGTGGAAACCCCATCTTCATTTTCAGTTCGAAGCTGTTCTTTGTTGTACACCACTTCCTCATTGTAGTAAGGTGTCAAAACACTGAAAGCCATCATCTTCTCCACTTGGGGTGCATGTGGCATGTTCATGAACAATGAGTTGCTAAAGAATGCGATTCGTCTTCTTGCTTCAAGATTCACGGGAATGTTGTTCATGGAGTCACGGGAAGTCAAAATCGTGTGGAGTCTTCGTGTTTGTCTGTAAAAGCTTTCGTTTTTTGGATCGGGGAGTGAAACTGCATTCTCAAAAAGTAAACCCTCACCTGAAAGTGGAATACGAGGGGCTAAACCGTCTTCTTCCAGCTCCTTCATGGATCTTTTTTCTTTAAAGAAATCGCGTATCACAACCTCGTAAAGTGCTTGTAATGTGTTGACTATTTTGTTGACATCTTTGTTTGACTTTATCAGGAGGTCAACGAGGGTGATGAGCTTTGTGTGGATTGTAGGGAGGGCGTACATGTTGAAAGTTTTGGTGAACTTTCCGATGATGATTGAGTTATCAATTTCTTGAAATAGGGTTGTGATGATTGAGTGTTCTTGTGTGTTGTATTGTAAAATTGTTAGAAGCATGTGTCTGATGCTATCATAAGTTTCAATAACTGAACATCTTCTGTATTCGTTTTTCCCGATTTTCTTCCATAGCCATCTATCGGGAGCATCAACTAACTCTTTTGCTTGGCTTAAAGCAAGAAGCAACTCGTTACACAGCAACAAACATGGCCATTGTACAACTCTAATGTTCCATGTGTTTTGAGGCAATTCAAGAAGCTCGACTTCAAGATCACTAACAATGTCTTCTTCTCTAAATGTCAAGATGATTTCATTCCATATCAAAGCAAATTTATGAGCTTCGATTTGGTTTGATTCGAGTTTCTTGAATGGTCTCCCAAGACCATATCTTAGCTTCAATCTGTAGATAATGTCTTTGAACTTTGACCGAAAAGTCCCTCTTGTGTTCAACAACTGTTCTTCAGGCATAAGATTGAACTGCATTGCACTTGCGAAAAATTGAAACCTTAATCTTAGTTGTTGGACATTTCGGATCTCACCCAGATGACTAAAAAGCCCAACTGCAGCACCCACGAAGGAGGAGTAAATGGAGTACCAGATTTGTGTGTCCATGAGATAGATTAAGACAACTGGTAGCCATAAAAGGCCTACTGCAAACCTGTTGCTGTTACCAAAGAATTGGTGCCATTCGTATGTGACATCTGTGAGGTCTAGAAGATCTTTAGTGGGTTTAATCATTGGTTTGATCTGTAAAAAGTAACTGAAACAGAACTTTGTGGCGAGAACAATGATCCAGAATAAAGAATACTTGATGTTGTCTACTAGACCTTCACGGAGACCACGGCCTACAAAAGTTCTACTTTGGAACCACCAGGTTATGAGGTAGAAGATTCTCCAGTTTGTGTTTTCAATGAAGTTGCGAATCCATGGAAGAATGAAGAGAAGAAGAGCTAGAATTTCAGGGAGGATGAACACTAACGCGACTTCAAGGAAAGTTACCACTCGTTTATTGGCTGCAGCTGACCAACGCCCATCGTCCTTCTTTTGATTCCAGATTCTGGTGTAGAACACCACGAAGATTATGATCCAGATAACAGAAGTAATGATCTTCAACACCATTCTTACACCAAGCCAGTAAGTCTCTCTGGAAACGAGTTTATACTGCATCACAGCATCAAGAAGAGCTTTCAGGAACCGCAAACAGCTCCAAGTTATGAACAGACTTAGAACTTTTGCTTGGGCGTCTTTGTTCTTTAACGCCCTCCATGGAGTATGGTCTGGATCTCTCCAGGAAACGATGATGGCAGCTTGTAGAAACAGAAACAACATGGTCCAGAGCTTATCGAAGCTTCTAAACAGGTTCAGAAAGGATCTCTGCTCCACGAAACCTGTTTTCCCTACCCTCTTCCCTTTGCTTGTTGTTGCGAAGAAATTGCTCCCGATATCTATAGGCCACTTCAATTTCTCGAAACACCTTCTGCTCCAGAAGTACTCGTTTATATCATCGTAATTCCGCCAGTCTGAATGTGGTGCTGTGCCGTTCTTACTGTTCGCTACCTCGGCCTTAACAGTATCGTAAATTGGTTTAACAACGCGATTCAGGAATGCGTTTTCCCCAGAAATTGCGGGCAAAACAGGCCTACCTGTGTTCTCATCGATGTAATCTTCAAGAATTTTGTTCAGCTCCTCAGCCATATGATGAAATATATAACAAATACACTCAGGTATAAAGCGTAGATTCGCGGACTCACCCCAAATAAGTAAATAAAGTGAAACATACAGAAGCTCACGGCGTTGGTCGGAGTTGGATAATTGGCGGCGGGAGTCAGAGATCCAGATGTTGGATTTACGGCCGAGGAAGGAGCACCAGTGTGTGTAGTTGCTGAGTAACTTACGGCGAAAGCGGCGTAGCACGGAGGGGTCGAGAGTATCGATATTTTCCGGCGGTGGCTGCAGCCGCATCTGGGCGTTGGCGAGGTGGAGAACGAGGTGTTCCCGCTGATTTGAAACGTTGTCCGATTGGAAACCAAAGAAGGCGCCAAGCCAGTCGAGGAGGTCGTAGTGAGGTTGCCATGGAATGAAGGGCGGTCTGCGTAGGTCGCCAACAGCCAGTAGAGCAGCTGTGGCGGCACGAACTTCTGGGAAACGGAGGGACGGATGATCTGCTAGTAAATTGTGGATTGGGATTATGTTGTAGGGAGATTCATCAGAAAGGTCAGGCTCCGGCGACGACGGAGGACGCTGCCGGTGAGTCATCGTGGAGGTGGGGATCGGAGAACACAATTTGACTATGCGATGAGTGAGAGCTGTAAACGTTACATTGGGGAGAAACGAATACAAAAGAAAGCAGGAGGTAGTGGGGCCATGTGACCGCGTGATTAGACCTTTTCTTCCGCGCTTTAAATCTTTTCTTTGCCCCAAATTTTCAAATACAGGTGTATATTATATTAGTATATACTCTAAGATTCAAATTTGAATTAATTTATTTAAAGCTTTAGATATTATTTAGGGTGTATATTTTACTTTGTTAAATATTATGAAATACTTATATTAATACTAACAATAAGGTAAGCTTAATTATGATATCATCTTTATGGTATCTTGATAAGTGAAAAATATACAATGAATATGACGTTACATTAATAGATTCAGATTATATATATATAATGTTAATTTCAATGACATTTGACTTGATCATCATATTTAAATATGTAATGATGTTTTATTGTTTAGGTTCGTTTTGTCGACTAGTATAAACTTGACTACATAATAAGGTAGGTTATTTTAATATTAATTATGTTTCTATGCATTATATGTGTGAAAAGTATTTGAATCATTAATCTTCATTATTTACATATATCCGATTATTGATAGATACAAGGCAAATAGTATATCCACCTGATACTTTATGGTCATATCGTTTAACACAAGTAATAAAGACTAATCACAAAAATACTAAGATGACACATCAATTTAAAGAATTGACAAATTTTTTACTCGTACTACAAAATAACCTTGGTCAATGTAAATTGCGAAATATATAATCATTTGTTATGTATATGCCACTTTTGTGATTAGCCATCTAAAAAATAAATAATTTTTATTTATCATCATCTATCTAAAACAAAATCTTTATGAGTTTTATCTAAACAAACACTTGTTCATGATTAAGTTTTATGTGTGAAAGGTTCTGAATGAGTATAGGAAAGAAAAAAATGTTTAGGGTAAATTTTCATTCGTTGAAACTCGTTTGATGGGTTAGTTGTGTGCCTCATGTTTTGGGAATTATCAATTGTAGTATTTATTATCATTAAAAAAAAAGTGGGTAATCAACTCATCCATCCAAACTTGTCATATATAATATTATATATCAACAAATTGACTCATTACGTTGTGACGTTCATTTATTTATAAAACGTTGGTAAAATATCTATACTTCGGCATATTTACAATAGAAAAAATTGCAAAGATCCTATGTGTGGTTTCTTATTTACTTTCGCTAAGTTGCAAACCTAATCATCTACCCTAAGTTAGTTACCTAATAAGGTGTGTGGGCGAGCTTGAACACCGCACATTAACAGAAGGAAAGGTGGTGAGGCAGCCCATTGCCGCACGCTTTCTCCTATTCCTATAAGCCAACTTTTTTTTTATTTTTTTTAATATTTATTAAATTATATATATATATATATATATATATATATATATATATATCAAAACTCATGGTTTTTAATTCCCTACAAAATAAGTATAATATTTGTAGGAAATATATTTTTAAAAAATAATAATAATAAAATAGTGAAACAAGTTTTCCACCCATTAATTGGGTTTATGTGAAGAAAAGAAAAATAAGGAAAAAGGTGTTGTGACCCATAAAAATTTAGGGGGTTTTTTCACATCAATCCTTATCAAAATTGAAAAGATGTTTTTACATGTATAGATTTATTTTTACTTTTTTTATATTTTTTAATATTATTTTTAATAAATGAATGTTTTTTTTTGTCATATGTCTTGTTTTCTTTCATTTTGTCACATGACTTTTTTTTGGTTTTTTTTTTCCATTTTTTAATTTTCCACTTGTTATTTTTTGAGGTTTTTCATTCTTACATTAAATTTTCAGAATTTATGATTATACATATGAAAGATTCTCATTCTATTCATGTAAGGTTATCATTTTAGTAATTTGAGAATAAATTCACATAAATATTACAAACTCATTGATTTATTTTCTTTTTTCAATTACTTTATAAAATGTTTAATGTTTACATATTGATATTAAACTTTTTTTATTTTTAATAAACATGTATAGTACACGGGTCATACACCTAGTTATTAAATAAACAATACACCTAGTTATTAAAGAAACAATGGTTTCTCACTTAACCCTTTAAGGGCTTAACCCACTAAGGACTTAATCCATTAAGTCCATTATTGCTTAGATTAATTTCTGCCAATGATTATTATTTAATATTTTACTTATTAAATAATTCTCATGTGTGTGTCCGATAATTTCTCAAATATTAGGATTTTCTCAATTAGCCCATTAAGGACTTAGTCCATTAAGTCCTTTACTCTACTAGATAAATGGCATGGAATAGTTTGGACTTAATTCACAATCCAATCCCAGTGGCCCAAAAGTGGGTCCAATAAGTCCAAGGCCCAAATACTTACAATTAAGGTTTTCCACCCCAACATGGCCCAATAGGCCCAAAATTAATCTTTAAGCCTGTTAGGGTTTTAGCTGGTCCATTAGGGTTTTGCTTGTGGGGCACCAACCACTACCACCTCGAGTAATGGTGGTCAATGGCAGCTCATGGCGGCTGCCACCACCTTACAGTGGTGGTTACTATTATTTTTATTATTCATTGATAATTACAGTTACAAAGCTTTAATCCAAAATTACACACACACACACACACAGCCACCCTAGTGGCGGCCGACGGTGGCGGTGACTTTTTCCGGCCAAGAAACTACCCACACAACATGCAATTACACAAAAACACAGCCACACATAAGTCTTGCCCGGAAGAGAAGCACCTCCGCCCTCTTGGTGGTGACAAGAGTGGTCTTGTGACCACAACCACCACCTCGCGATGGTGGCGGTGGTTCCTTGTTTCCCAACCGAGTAAACACCACACATACTTGCAAATACAATCTGGAGACCGAAGCATTCCCTAACTCAACCACTACAAATGGCATGCGAGGAACGGAACCCAAAAACGATGGCCAAGACCCACCGTCGATCTCAACCAACGTTCACGATGTCAGGCCACCAAAAGAACAAAGAAGAAGGTGTAGATGGAAGGAGATGGTCCAACCGAGTGTTGATTCTGAATTCTGAAGTCTCCCACTCAAATGTCAAAACTCACGGATGAAAGGAAGCTCACAATATAAAATAGTTAATGAAAAGAAAAGAGGAAGAGTCCAGAAGTTAACAGAGGAAAAAACACCCACTTTATTCATGAAAAGAGATGGCAATATATAGCCTTACAGAGTACCACGTGAGCATGAAAGTAGCCATATAGATCTACCCATTACTTCACCTAAAGAATCGGTACACCCATGACTCAATCTTCCAACGTTACTTTCTCAACGTACAACTCCAACAAATTCAGTCAAACCAAAATACCTATTCTACCTAATAAACTATTAATAAAAACATAACATATAAAACTATAAATAAATCTAAACCCAACCATATGCATAATCACGTGACCTTGGTAAATAATCGATTAATTCCAACAATCACCCCCTTAATCGGTTATTTTTCCACTCCATTCACAATAATGTCGGTTCATCTTCAATGATCAAGTTTGCTTCTTTTTCCCACTTTGGACATTCGTTGTTGTAATGACCGAATTCACCGCATTTGTAGCATTTTACGTGACTCTTGTCCCGAACACGTTCCTTACCATCTTGGTTCCTCCCGAACCCACGACCTCTTCCCCGGCCACGTCCAAAGCCATCCCGATGCGAACCGCCACCGCCACAATGCATACAACCATCCGACTTTTCTTCTCTTGACAACAACAACCCACCATAAATGTCCTCCACCTTCTCGGATCCTTTGATGCACTCTTCATATGCCTTTAGTCTACCGACGGCTTCATCAAAAAACATCGTATCCAACTCAAAGCATTGCTCAATCGACGCCACAATTTGAAGAAAGGACTTGGGCATAGAATCAAGTAACCTTTTCACCAAGTCAACTTCTTCAAGTTCATATCCGAGACTCCGTGCTTTCGAAGCTAAACCACTCAACTTGGCTGCAAAATCATCAACGGTTTCTCCCTCCTTCATACGCAAGCTTTCTAGTTCCCTCTTCAAAGTTGCTAATCGAGTCGTTCTTATCCGATCCACACCCAAATACCGAGTTTTTAATCCTTCCCAAACCCTTTTTGGATCGGTGTAATCGGACATTTGCAACACCATCTCTTCTGGTATTGCTTGAAACAAGAAAGCAAGAGCTTGTTTCTTCTTCTTTGGATCCGATTCTCCACCCGATGTCTTTGCTTCAACAGTCTCCCATATGCCATGTGCATCCATGATGAACTTTACTTTGACTACCCATACTGGATAGTTGGTTGGGGTCAAAACCGGAATCTGATATGACATTGAACCACCATCTTTTACTGCCAACGCCATTTTTCTTTTCTTATGACAGCCCCAAACTTTTCAGATCCAACCCGTTCCAATTGAGACTCCTCTTCCACCAGTCAAGAAAACCAAGCTCCTGATTCTTCTGTTTTCTTTTACCAGCTATGAGTAAGCAAAATCAAAACTCACCCGTTCTGATTTCTTTCCGCTTCTCTTCCCCGCTTCTGGTTAGGCTCTCTTTAACCCGGAACAAGGATCATCAAGGATGGAGCTGCATCTTTTCTTGTTATAAGAACTTACACCCCCTTCAACAGAACCTTGGTGCTCTGATACCAAATGTTGATTCTGAATTCTGAAGTCTCCCACTCAAATGTCAGAACTCACGGATGAAAGGAAGCTCACAATATAAAATAGTTAATGAAAAGAAAAGAGGAAGAGTCCAGAAGTTAACAGAGGAAAAAACACCCACTTTATTCATGAAAAGAGATGGCAATATATAGCCTTACAGAGTACCACGTGAGCATGAAAGTAGCCATATAGATCTACCCATTACTTCACCTAAAGAACCGGTACACCCATGACTCAATCTTCCAACGTTACTTTCTCAACGTACAACTCCAACAAATTCAGTCAAACCAAAATACCTATTCTACCTAATAAAC